CAAAAACATGGTGGTAGTCCGGCTTCTAGTAGGCATGTCGATGTGGTAAGCATCATGAACTGATTGTTTCTTTCGGCGAGTGAATTGTTCTGGGGATGTCCTGGAAGCGACTGGTCTAGTGGAATCCGGAGTTCCTTGAGTGCTGCTTCAAATTGTGGCGCATCATCCGAGTAAGCGTTGGTGACCTTTCTCTTACCGATATAGTGCTTCATCGCCTGCACCACTTCGTCACTATTGCTTGCTTTCAATGGATAGCCCCATATCACACCGGTGAACCGATCTCGAATCACCAATACGTCCTTATCCGGCATGATCCCATCTCTCGCCATCTTCTGGGTGTTCATGAGATCGAAAGTGATAAGGTCACCGAATGCCTTCAATTTCCGTTTGAAAGCTCCCTTGCTAGTCTTGTAGTGCTTCATCTTTGCTCTCACACATGACTTGCAGTATGGGTTCTTGTATCGGTGCGTCATCAGGCGCAATATGGATTTCGCCTCGTTCTTCAGCACTCCTGGTTTTGATAGTCTGGCTTCCCCGTCAACCACATCGACTTCCAATAATCCCTCTTCATCTTCACCAATGTCACTCTCCTCTCGTTCAGAATCCGCGTCACCTCCATGTTCGTCGTCTTCGGCTTCTTCAGGTTGACCTTCGTGACCACGATCGATTCTCGGATCTCCTCCGTCATATTCCTCTTCAGGAGAATACCCGTCATCACCGTGTTCCTCTGGTTCTCCTTCGACGCCTGCAACAGCTGGATCGATATCAGATTCACCATCCTGACCTCTCTGGCTATCTTTCTTCTTTCTCCTCCGTCTCCGTGGTTTCTTGGGCGGAGGTTCCTCCTGTTGTGTCTCCTGACCTGCTGTGGCCTCATCTTCATGCCCCACACCTGACAGTATGCGATGAAGTATCGTGGCCAAGCCGTCTGGTCTTGGTAAACATCTCCCGTCATCATCATTCACCTTGATGTAGGGTATGTTGTCATGCACCGATAGCGGAATCTTGTTCGCGTTCTGGTCGATGAGGTATGGCAATTGATTTGCCGGCCATACGAATGAGTACCCTTGTTCCATGCACCGTTTCCCGATGGAAAAGACTGATGGTGTGCTCTCCAACACGTGTGCCTCGGACATCATGGGTAGTTCGTCCACATTGATGTCCACCATCTCTGATGTACTAGTTACACCATTCGCTGTCATGAAGCTCACGGATTTGGGTCCTTCCTTGGTGGTAAGGCCCATGGCATTGACTTTCTCTCTTGAGATCAAGTCGTGTCCACATCCCGTGTCCATGATGAAGCGTATCGGTGGTCCATCATACCTCTCCACAGCCATGAACATCGTGTCTCCTGGTATCGTGTAGTTGACAGAATCCTTCCTTACTACCTCGCTGGTGTTGAAGTCAGACAGGTCGACGTTCACCTCGATTCCTTCATCTTGAGTGATTTGTATCCATGCCTTGGCGATGTGTTCAGCAGAGTATAGCTCCATCATCTTACCTTTGGCATGTGCTACTCGCGCAGCTATATTGCTCACTCTGAGGGCTCTCAACGATGAAATGAGCTCGGTATCCACCTTCTGCACCTCACTCTTCTTCTTCCTGAGGGGACGGGTGTTTAGCTCGTTACCAGGATCGCAGGTAAACGTGGTCACATTCGCCCGGTCATCAAATCTGACTTTAAAGCGAAGCGCCAGCTTACCTTGTTGTACGTTGGGAAGTGCGGGTTGCACGTCCTCGCCATCACTCTCGATGTCTCCGCAAAGCATGAAGGCTGGCGCAGCCGGTTTGGGCTTGGCTTTGCCTTTAGCTTCTTGTTTTGTAGCAGGAGCAGCGTGATGCTGACGTCGACATTTGTCCCCGAACTTGCACGATCCTTTCTGCCAATTCCAACAGACCTGATCCTTCATTGGCTTAGGGCTACTGCTCCTGCCACCAGGACTCTTTGATCTGTCACCCTTGAGGCTTTCTGGTTTCTTAGCAGAACTTTTGTGCTTCTCTTGGTGACTAAACTTGCATTTGTCTCCTCTAGAACATCCGTTTTTCCCATGGAAGTGGAAGGCGCATCCTATCTTGGACGTATCTGCTGGAGTCGCTGACCTGCCACGATCCCCCTTTGGGCTCTTCGTGGTTGATCTTCCACGATCCTGCTTCTTGTCCTTCTTGTTGCGGTCCTTCGGATTAGCCTGAGGAAGTACTGGAGCGGCGTCATGCTTCGGTGGATCGGCCTTGGTATTCTTGGGTTTCGCTTTAGGGTCCTTCTTCTCCGCCGCTGGTGTGGCTTTCACGAGGTTCCCAAAAGCTTTTTCCCTTTCTTTCTTGTTTGTGGTCTCGATTGATTTCCGTATCCACTTCGCCATGATCTCTCGTAACCTCTGGTAGGTCTTATCCGGATCCTTATCCAACATGTTGTCGTACACGGACAAGTCTAACGCCATAACTTTGGAATCCTTAATCTTGTCCCAAAGCAGGTTGCGGAGTGCTTTGTCAGGAAGCATGTCATCCGCATCCATACCTGATATGATCTCATCCCACTGTCCAAGGAATCTGGATAGTTGATTATCCCCAGGGAACTTTAGATCGAATAAGTGCTTGGATGCATACATCACATCGACGTTGTCGGCACTCCGGAAGCTATCGACGATCAACGCTAACATTTCTCGTCCCTTGACCATTCCAGGAGTTGTGCCTCTCGCACGTCTCTGCATCATCTGCCTCACCTTCAGTTGTACGTCATGAGATCTCTCACCTGCTGCGTGGATGATCGTATGTAGGGTGATACCTAGCTTAGCGTCTATGCTAGCGAATCTTGCTTCGCCTGATGTCTCGAGCAGAAATGGGTCGTACGGTGATCTGAAGGCATCCGAGAGCCACTGGATCCAGTCTTCTTGTCTTTCGTCGCCCGATGCCGTCACGACTGCCGCTACAACCTGGGATTTCCAAACCTCCAGGTCGTGTATCTTGGGCCATGCAGGGATGTTGATCTTCTCGTGTTCCTTCCGAGATATCTTGGAGCCACCTGAGCTGGAGGATGAAGCGGCACCATGCTCGGTTGCGGCTGCATTCTCAGCATTCAAGCGCTCCTCTTCGTACCTCCTCCGGTACTTATTCCTCTCATCTCTGAGCCGTGCTGCGTGCGCTTCGAATTCCATCATGTCCTGTTGGTTCTGCATCATACCTTCGTAGTACTCCATTGCCTCTTTCTCCTCGGACTTTAATGACTTTTCGGTACGTCCAAGTTCCGCTCTAAGCTTGGTCATCATTTCGTTCTCCACATTGGGTTCTGATCCCATGTCTGGTGGTTTCAACTTCAGTGCGACCTTCAGTTGCGCTTCACTTGCGCTTGATTCGATCAATTCTTCCTGAAGACGTTTCAGCATCCTCTCTTTACGTAGAATGTCTTCTTCCAACATGTTCACCTTGACTTCGGCTTTCTTGAGTTCGGCGTTGGATGGTTGAGACGGTCGATCGGATCCTTGAATCCTCGCCTGTGTCAACTCCTCGTTCGCCTTCTTCAATTGCTCCCTGATGGTCATGATGAAATTGTCCTGATTATTAGATCGGTTGTTGAGCTCCTCATTCTCTTCTGATAACCATTTGATCTTGCTTGTATACATTGCTTCCCTCATCTTCATCTCTTCAGCATATTCGTGTTTGTTCCTGGCACTCTGTCTTTGTATTCCAACTAACTCCTGTCTACACAGATCCTTGACGTTCTCAGCATCCGCGATTGTAGCCATGACCTCGGTTACGGCTCGATCTCTTTCCGCCGATATAGCCTGGATCTCTTCCGTGCCGATGTTCACAACTTGACTAACCATCTCTGCGCTGTTGCGATCAGCGTACTCCCCTAACTGGGTGAGACGATCCCGCATTGCCACACGATCAGTGTCAATCTGGTATTGCAAATCGTGTGCTGCTGAGAGCAAACAGTCTCTGGATTCTGTAAGTTGGGAGATTCTTCGTTGATTTCCATATCCTTCGACATAACATTCTTCGAGGTGTGCCATCACTACTTCGTGGACTTCGGTCTCGTGTTGTATAATCTGGTTCTGTCTCTGCTCACATTCGACCATCCATGCGTTTTGGTGGTTCAACATATGCACTTCGGCAAGTAGTTGTGCACACTTCGCATTGAGGTCTCCATCGGCCCGTGCTAGATGTAGGTTGTCAGTGCTTGCCCTTGCTCCATCTCCAGCTTCGCTGTCCGACGGTACTGGTACAGTTGACCCATCCTCCAATGCTAACACTCTCACTGCTCCGGTGTCAGTCCTCCTCCTTGTCTCCCTAGGGCTACGGCCTGACCTCGGTGTCCCCCCCGGTGGTGTCGATTGCGCTGACGGGGAACGACTTCGTGCTCTACCTGTCGCAACTTCTCTCACCACTGTCAGAGTCTCCGCTTCGATCGTACCTGGACTAGAGTTGTGGGATGCACTCATCCGATCTGCGGCCGCAGCAGCTGCTCCAAAGGATGCAGTGCTGGCGTCGGATTGGTCCATCTTCAGTGACTGAGGGTAACTGATCTATCCGATGCGTGTGCGTTTAGATGGTGTTGTGTAAGGCCGTAGCTCGTACCCAGCTCAAAGGAGTCTGGATACGGCTGATAACCTGCGAACGGATGAAAAGTGTGCCCTGGCCCCGTTCTAGCCCTTAGTTCAACATGAAGCTCGCGCGCTAAAGCTCCTTTTTACCTGGTTGGGCACTTGAGCCAAAAGTATATGGCATGTACCTGTATAGCAACTATACTGGGACCTCATCCCTATTGACATTCATGGTCTTCACTCGCAATTCTCAGAGCCAAATCATTCAGGCTCAGGCTTCTTCAAGGAAGTTCCCGGCTCCCTTGAAGAAGCATGAGCCCTGCTGTGTCCAAGCTCAAGAAGCTACTTAAGGCTACTACTTAGTTGCTTACTACGAAAGCTTACTTACAAGCCAACTAGTCACTAGCGGTTTAACCCCCAGGTTAGTTTTTAAAAGAAGGAATGGACTGCAGCCGCGGCCTTTAGAAGGTCGGTGAAGTGCTCCACGCCCAGGGCACTGGCGAATTGGGCTTCCAAAGGATCCGGCATCACCTGTACGGTGATACCTTAGAGCACTGGCGGCAAAACCAATGCTACAAACCAATGCTAAAGCTGATGCTGACAAATGTTTCCAGAGCGTCTCCGGTGACTTATTCACTTCTCTGGTACCCTGGTAGGCCTTGTGCCTAATCACAGCATCTGACAGCCCTGCAGTCATCAAGCACTGTTGCTCAGTCCGCATGTCTCCAAAATCCAGAACACCCAAGGGGGTAACTTGCAGAACGCCAACGTCATCTGTCGGGCGGCAGCTGTCTTCCATGACAAGTGTGTCATTGTCCTGCCACACACTAGCAGATTCAAGAGCAACTTTCAACGCCCAAGTCTTTGATGGCCTCCAACAAAGCACCGACGGAGACCAGCTGCACTCGCTCTAACTCCAAGCATAGGTGTCGTGCCAGCACAGCACGTACTTCACCAACGACGATGGAGCTTCCATAGGTCCTGAAACGACATGTATGAATCTGTATGAACTGTGATGGAAATATGAACTGTGAAGCATCACCAAACAATCACACCTGGAGACCAAACCGGTTTGGGAGACACAGGCGCGACTCCGTCTTTCTGCGAACGGCAGGAACTGCACCGGTGTCGAGCTAAGTTGAAGCAAGTCACCCGAGCTCACTCTCACAGCTCACCGGCTCGCCACTCAGCAGCCGAAAGGCCATGGGATGTTCGAAGGTCCAGCTGCGATGCGTGCGATGTAAATATACAAAATACAATTAATTATTGTTTCTAATAGCTTCTTGTTATATACTAGTAGTAAGGCACTTGTTACTACTAGTAAGGCACTTGTTACTAGTAGCTTTATTGGTTCACAGAAGGTCTGAGTCTCCGAATTTCAGGTGAAAGGAATTCATTCCTAAGGAGCGTAAGGGGCTAAGGCGAAAGCTATCCAAAGCCAATACACGTTTCAAGTTGCACAAATTCAAGCACGTGTGCTGGTACAGTAGCAAGGGGTAGTTGAGGCCAAACCCTAAAGTAATATATTTTCCTTAGCAAAGCTCAGTGCCGAAAAATGCAGAGTGCTGGTTGAAAGGGCCCCCTTTCACCAGTTTGGTTCTGTAATTGCTTCTCTAAGTTCTGCGGGCCACATCATTGAATTGGCGATCTCAGGAAAGCAAGAAGCAGGTCAGAACCTGAATGGCCTTTGAGTTTGCTGAGACTCAAACAAAGCGCTGCTTCTCATGGACCGCGTGACAGCCGAAGTTCTTTCCAACCGTGACATGCCAGTACCTTGCAAGAGAAATCATGTTGAAAAACAAAAAGGCCTCTTCTGGCCCCTTGGGCACGGCTTGTGTTGCTCATCAAAGTGCTGCTTGATCTTTTGCGCGATGGTGGGGCCTGTGAAGCGAAAGGACGAACCTTGCTTCACGTTGTATCACAATGTTAAGGCAGCGAGTCGTCCGTTGCCTTGTTGCTCTTGTCTTCCAAATTCTTCTAGCGCGTTCATGGAGACCTTCACCTTGGCATCAAGATTCATCTATGTACACCATTCCAAATGCCCCTTCCAAGCTCCAAAGCTCCAGGCAGCATCTTCGAGCATGTCATCAGGCATGTCTGCCGGCCATAGAATCTTGGCCTTACCATCTCAGATTCTCCAGCTACATCTGAAGTTATCCCGTCCAAAGCGGCAATCTGGACGTGGCAAGCATGGGAAGCCTTCAGATTCCCATCTCTTCTAGGTGTCTCGGAGTTCCACTTAGGTCCCAGAGCCACTTAGGTCCCAGCACCCCAAAGTACCTTGTACTCCTGCCCCCAACAAACACTGCCAAAAAAGCTGTGATAATACAAGAAAATACATTGAATCAGTCAAGCACAAAAGAACATCGTGGTAGACTGAATGACAAGAACTATATTTTGCCGAAACAGGCGTTGAATAAACCTCACTCAATCGTGCCTCTTGTGCCTTCTGCTCATCCTGGTTTTGCGCCATGGCCTGGATTCCGGCCGAGTGCCAACTGCAACGAACGACTAGTTGCCTAGCTAAACACGCAATGAATGAGTTGACCTTGCTGAGCTCCGAACAGTGCAGGCGCAAAGCACGGAAGGCGTTCTACTGTTCCCTAGGTGCCCTTCAGTCCAAGGGCTGCTTGACCATCAGCAAGCCAGCAAGAATAGTCCTCCAACCTTTCATAGCCTCTGTCCAAATGGCTTCACGTGACCGTTTCTGCCACAAGGTGGGACAAAACGGCATCTGCTTCCCCAAGCTTATTTGTGCATCCCCTCCAACCCAGTAGCGATGGCCTTCATTCTAGTGCAGTAGCGATGGCCTCAAAAGGCATCTGATTTCCAAGCCTTTTTGCATCCCCTCCATGTCTCAGTCTTCAAGTGCACTGGTCGATGACTCTTGCAGCACCGTGCACTCACCAATACCCAGTTGGGTCGATGCATTGCAACCACGATGTGGTAACCCACCGCCAAGGATCCTACCAATGTACACTAAGACTGTTTGAAAGAGAACTCAAAATATGTGTTCCAGACTGCATTACAGTCTAGCAAAGCCCGAGCGTGAGCATGGGTTCAAAGATCAAGAGTATGCAAATGCTAGACAAATTCTCAGAACGCATGCACACGGCAGAATGGAAAATCCGGTCCGAGTGTGAAAATCCGGATCTTCAGGTTCTTGAGGGTCTTGACCTCTCTGGTTTCAGCATTAAGTGCAGAAGCCTGAAGCGGTGAAACAGTCATCAAGTGATCCCATTCTGCATAGCGACGCCTGCGGGGGCCCAAGCAGGCTGACAAGCCTATTTTGGAGGAAGGAAGGCTAAACAATAGTCAGTTGGCTGGGGATATTCAAAAGTTCCCCGCTTCATTTGTCGTCACTCTACTCAGCTCAGATCGCCCTGCAGGATACAAGGACGTGAGACTTGCACCAAGTCAGTGTTGGTGGGGGAAGCAAGTAGAGAAAAACATAATGAGGTTACCAATGAAGCAGATTCTCCCCGAGCATTGCAATAACATGTACACCAAGAGGCCAAGAGGTGTGTGTGTGTGTGTACCCCTTGGAGTCAGAGGGAACCTTAAGGTGTGGAACAGGGGGCGTGACGGTCGATTTCCTAGTCACGCCAATGAAGCTATGGAAATCGACTGGAAGGAAGTTTGGACGCAAACTTCCGTACCTGTTCCCTATTTAGGAAAACAGGACAAAATGGTACTCGACACACTTGTGTGTCGGTGCCTTTCCTTCTGTTTTCCTCTAAGGCCACCCTATAGGTTGCAGGTAGGCCTCCAAACTTTGTAAGGGGTTTTTAACCTGAACTCTGGCCTCCACCCACTAGAATGGACCCCCAACTTTTGCTGTTTTGCTGTCTTGTTTGTCTTGTGTTTCTTGTTACCTACTAGCGAGGGCCCCCAACCTGCCTTCGACGGCCTCCAACCTAAGAGCGAAGACCTCCAACTTTGACCGCTTTGCTGTCTTGTGGTTTCATGTCTCTAACCTACTAGCGATGGCCCCTCAACCTGCCTTCGACGGCCTCCAACCTAAGTGCGAAGACCTCCAATTTTGACCGCTTTGCTGTCTTGTGGTTTCTTGTCTCTAACCTACTAGCGATGGCCTCTCAACCTGCTTTCGATGGCCTCTAACCTAAGAGCTATGGCCTCCAACGTTTGCACCTTGTTTTACTCAGGTTTTTTTAACCTAGGCTGGCGGGTGGCACCGCTATCCAGTCAGTACGCATATCCATGAGTGTGTGAAACCCTTGGAGTCGTGGTTTTTGTTTGGGGGGGCTGGTTTCGTTCGTTTGCCAAAGAACTGTCTCAGGACATGTGAAGACGGCAGTTCCTATGTCTTTTTTCAACTTTTCCGAAAAAACGAGTCAAGTAAACGAGACCCCGAATTAAGAAAAAACATGTCAATTCTACCACAAAACACTGGGTTTTGTAGGGAACACAGTCAGGCTCCGTGCATCGATCACACCCACTGACATAAACCATGTGGGGTTTTTATAAAGTTTTTGTGGTTTGGGTGACTTCCTCATGTGTCCAACCCGGAGGGATGTTTATGTCTGTTGTAGACGCACCCATACAATGACCGCACGTAGGAGACATGCGATGCGACACAGCCCCCATTGCCTCCCCCAGCTCAACCACCATCGGAGCCCAAAGATGCCTCTTGGCTCGTGCAGTTCGAGCGGCAAACACTATGCCTTTTCAATCAACACTGCTTCTGGCCCCACAGAAGCTCCGGCTATGTAAGAAATATGTTAAATACATGGACATAGAATTGAAGACCAACCACAAAATGGTCTTTCCCATCTTGTCAAAAGAACTTTCCACATGGAAGCGCAGAAGGCCTGAAGTAGTGGGCCCAAATCTTACACCATCCTATGTTTAGCAAGTGCTGTAGAGAGCAAAGAGTACCTTCAAGCAGTGCTGTCCAGGTTCCCGTACGAACAGTTGGAATACAAGAAGTCTTGTCTCTGAAGCTTTCGTTCCAATGATTGCAAGACACGCTCCCCACTAACGTCATGTCTTTCCTGAAGTCTGAAAAAGTTTCGGAGGAGTTCCCAACAAGTTTTTGGGACTGCCCGCAACAGTTGCGGTTCATTATACACGTTGAAGAGAAGCAAAACCGCTCCACACACACACACACTTATGGATATGCGTACTGACTTGACAGCGGTGCCACACGCCGGCCTAGGATACCATTTCCTAAGGGTACAAGCAGGTACGTCTGGCTGATCAGGCCAGATATCCGCATGTGCTGTGGCCGCTTCGTTGGA